CCTAACATTCCACCACGCTTCTGCGACCAATGTCCACGTCGGCCTCTTTACCCCTTGGATGACTACGTGGATCCCCTTTCCCTCAGGCCTCCATGCCCTTTCTTGGGGTAGCAGCCCAGGCCGAAGGTTAGCCTGCCACGGGTCCGCTGCCACATAGGCGCAGGATCATGCTCGGATACCAATTGATAGGAACCCACTTCAATAACTCAACAATTTGACGGGGGTAAAGAGGCCGACGTGGACGTTGGTTGCAAAAGCGTGGTGGAATGTTAGGATCCCACATTGAAAGGGAAAAGGGTGGGCATGTGGGTTATAAAGGTTTGGGCATCCTCCCTGGGCAAGCCGGTTTTCCAAGGAGAGTTCTACCCAAGCCCATGAAAGACCCATGGCCCAGCTCAAATTGTTGAGTTATTGGAGTGGGTTCCCATCAATTAGTATCAGAGCATGATCCTGCGCCTATGTGGCAGCGCACGCGTGGCAGGCTGACTCGTGGCAGGCTGACCTTGGGCCCGGGCTGCTACCCGGAGAAAGGGCATGGAGGCCCGAGGGAAAGGGGATCCGTGTAGTCACCCAATGGGTAAAGAGGCCGACGTGGACGTCGGTTGCAGAAGCGTGGTGGAATGTTAGGATCCCACATTGAAAGGGAAAAGGGTGGACATGTGGGTTATAAAGGTTTGGGCACTCTCCCTTGGCAAGCCGGTTTTCCAAGGAGAGTTCTATGCAAGCCCATGAAAGACCCATGGCCCAGCCCAAATTGTTGAGTTATTGGAGTGGGTTCCCATCAATTGGTGTCAGAGCATGATCCTGCGCCTATGTGGTAGCGCATGCGTGGCAGGCTGACCTTGGGTCCGGGCTGCTATCCCGAGAAAGGGCATGGAGGCCCGAGGGAAAGGGGATCCGCATAGTCACCCAAGGGGCAAAGAGGCCGACGTGAAAGGGAAAAGGGTGGGCATGTGGGTTATAAAGGTTTGGGCACCTTCCCTTGGCAAGCCGGTTTTCCAAGGAGAGTTCTACCCAAGCCCATGAAAGACCTATGGCCCAGCCCAAATTGTTGAGTTATTGGAGTGGGTTCCCATCAATTGGTATCAGAGCATGATCATGCGCCTATGTGGCAGCGCACGCGTGGCAGGCTGACCTTGGGCCCCGGCTGCTACCCCAAGAAAGGGCATGGAGGCCTGAGGGAAAGGGGATCCGCGTAGTCACCCAAGGGGTAAAGAGGCAGACGTGGACGTCGGTTGCGGAAGCGTGGTGGAATGTTAGGATCCCACATTGAAAGGGAAAATGGTGGGCATGTGGGTTATAAATGCTTGGGCACCCTTCCTTAGCAAGCCGGTTTTCTAAGGAGAGTTCTACCCAAGCCCATGAAAGACTCATGGCCTAGCCCAAAATTGTTGAGTTATTGGAGTGGGTTCCTATCAGATATGTATTGAACTTCTTAGTCCAAATGTAGCTGATACTACACAAAAATTTGTGAGATGAAATTCTGCATAAATTTAAAAGGAAGATGAAAAAATATATATTGTATTACGGTGATGCTAATATTTATCGTTGTTTAAAATGTTATTCAAGAATTCCATTGATATTACCATAATGTGTGTGTGTGTGTGTGTGTGTCTCAGTATCATAGTATAGAATGCCAAATGGTGGATCTCTAAATCTACCATTGGTTGGAAATGACAGATGCCACTAAGGCACAAGTCATTTTTCACCCCAAACCCCCTTCTAATGCGAAATGAGTAACACTCGATTACCATTTGAGACCTAACACAAAGAATATAGTAGTTTACTCTGAAATTATCTTAATTTTCCAATTTTACATTGAATGAAATAGACCCTTTAATTAAATGGCTATGAGTTAGCTTGAAAGGTTAACAGTTGCCCTTTTTTTCTTTTTTCCCCCATACTGTTTTTAGACCATTTCCCTGTGATTGCTTGATTGAGAACATATCTTCAAGCACATGTGGCCAATGATGTCCTTGTCAATAATTGGGTTCCTGTTCTTTCTGGTTTTCTGCATGTCCTAATTGTGCCTTCTGCTTGACCCTTATAACTCGTATTTGGTACTGTCAGTAATCTTCTTGGATCAATAGGTTAGCTGCTTACGCATTATTTCAGCTTTTCTTATGGGAAATTTATACTGCAAATGATTACGGTTAGTAGGAATACTATTGAGAGGGGTTATTAGTAGATTTTACAGTTACCTGTTACTTGGTTGGCCTATTTATGCTTGATACCACATGATTTAGTATTTTATGAATAAAGTTATCATTGAAGGGATTCAGAAAAGGGGTTTACTGTTGAAGAAAGCTGCCGTGGGTTTCCTTCCATCTCCTTCAACCTTTTTTTTTTTTTTTTTTTAATCAGTCATATGACTAGTGTTAATCACTTTGTCAAGGCATCTGATATTGATGAGAATAACTAGGAACCTATTTGAAGTAGACATTTGAACTCTTTGGCAATGAATGTCTTTTAAGATTTTACAATGTCAGTTGAACAGGCATATTATTTAATCAATTGGACCTTTGTTTTATGGAGTTTTTTAAAACAACCCGTTTACTAGTGTTTTGCTTCATGAAAATCATCTTAAGAAGGGTATTAGACGTATAGTATAATTATTTTTATCTAAGCCGAGTATAACAGCCATATCAGGAAAGTTTGCTTCATTTTTCACCAAAAACTATTTTAAGGGGACAAAAGAGAAGTACTGACACTAGAAAACTTGCTTTTTTTTTTTTTTTTTTTTTTTTATCATCGACAATTATCGTCGATGCCTTATTATCCTCATTACATGTTGCAATCTGTGCAGAACAACGTGCCAGAAATCTTTGATAGCATAACGGCATTTGAGGGTCCGCCATCTCCAGACTCAAGTTATGGTCAAACAATGCCTTCAGAGGAAGATTTTTCTAAGGAGCCTGTAGCAGTTCCACTTCAGCTGCCTATACAATTTGATTTGCAGAAGTCAGAAGAGGCATCATCTTGTTCAAAAAAGCCACGACATGTAGTGCTTAACCATATGTTCATGGACACCTCATACGCAGCACAGTCAGTGGTCGCCCTTGGAGTAACCCACAGGTTTGAATCTAAATATGTTACTGTATTTCTTTATAAGCCCCTGAAGTTAGCAGTCTGAGTTTTCTATGATTGTCTGTGTAAAGAAAAGGAAAATGGGATTTACTTTTAACAGTTTATGGAGATTAAATATTATGGTTGCTTTAGGAATTAATTGACCAAAGTTGTTTTGTGTAATGTAATCTAAGCATATTCATAAAAACTTTGAATTTATTTCATTGTGCAACATTGGTTGATTATTTTACACATAATTAAGAAAAAAAAAAAAAAAATTGGAAATGGGTACGCATTATTATCAGAGAATTGGACAGCTACGGCGTCGTTTCTTCTCACCATTTGACTTGAAAGACTTCCGCTCATGCTCATGGATTTGGGTTCCTGCTTTCTCCCTCTTCTTTTCTCTTCTTCTGCATACCAAACAATCAATCAGTACATTTTGGCATGAGCATTGAAATATAATGTTCAAGTTCAACTCTTCCACCCTTTACTATTTTTATTATTATTTTTTTAAATGAATAAGATAATAAAAGTATTCTTAAAATTACTGACTGCATTACCTAATACAACTATTAATTTAGTGGTTATCAACTCTTTCTAATTCTAATATTGTTAAAGCATCTTATATAGTCTTTTAATTTATTCAAAACTTTTGTATGTGAAATTAGTGTAATTAAAATATATGTGTATATTCCATTGTCCTTGCATTATCAAATATTAGATTTAAACTTAAAATACTTAACAATAAAATTAACAAATTTTAAAGCTTTCTTGGCTTTGACTATTTGATATTTATTGAATTATTGTAGATTGATGTAATTTTAATATAATAAAATATTCAAACTGTTTAATTGGTTTGAGTTTTAAAATTAAAATTTAATTTGAAATTAATTATATTTAAACATCAAAAGCGGTTTCGGATGCATTTGTGAAAAGAATGTTTGATTTTATAAAGTAAAAAAGAAACGATAAGGTTTAATTTGGGACATCTAATTCTATTTATTTAGATTTGGTTAAAAAGAAGAACATAATATTCCAACCCCAAAAGAAAAAGAGAAAATATGATTCTAAAAGCGAGGACATTGATTAAAGACCGAGGAGATCTGGAGATGCCACTCCAGAGGATAAGGTCGGTTCATGCACAGATGCCCAAATCAACAAATCAGAATAAAATTTGTTTTTGAGGTCCAAATCAACCCCAAAACAATTTCCTCGTCTCAGCTACTTTTGGATACGCATACATTTTCTTCAAGACACAAATATTTTTCATTTTTTAAAATCATTCTTCTAGAAACTCACTTATATGTTTTTCTCCCTTTCTTAGTTTCTAGAAGCCAAAAAAAATACCCAACAAATCTTCCTCTTTTCCACCAATCATTTGAGGCCTTAAAAAAGTAATTTATATAAATTTAATGTGTAAATGATGTGTTGGACTGGACTACATCATTTGTGATGAAAATTTTGAGATTTCATTTGAAAAAAGTAGTATCACTATTTCTAAACAAAAAAACTTATATTTAAAAAAAGGAAGAAAGAACCCGATTAAAATGAAAAATCTTTGACAGTAATAAAATAAAAACAAGTAATAATTTTTAACCATATACAGTGTTCACAGTCAAAGAAAAAGTAGAGATTTTAGGAGACTTTGAATTTAAAACATTTCTTTTTTATTTCCCAATCAAAATTATTGCTTCAGAACGCACAAATCAAAATATCCCACCGCAACCATATCATTTACTGCTAATGCTACACTGTTGGATCATGCTCCCTAAGGAAACAGGGAAGGAGAACATGCCAAGCTCCATATAAAATCCAACTGAACTAACGCTGTGATTTTTTCAACTCAAATAACTTTGTCAAACTATATGTATGATTTGACCACGCACAGCATCCAATTCAACAACAATGCATTCATACATACAGGACTAAAATATCAACAAAATTAGTCAACCATAATCAAAATAATGAATTCTCCCAATTGTTCAAACCTCATAATGCCCCAAAAAAAAATTCAATTAAACAGAAAAAAATTATTAATAAAACAGCCAACGTAGAAGATAGACACTAACAAGCCAAACTACTAGACAAGAAATAGAGAAAACAAGCTGAATACTAAAGAAGAGTACCACAAATCAATGCAGACATGAAAACAAGCAACCACCCAACCAAAGCTAATAACACCAAATGAAGATGTCCTACTGGGAATAGAAATCTCATCAACTTATGTGCTCTGTTCCCTTTTTTGTTATTTTAGTCGTTTTGAGATTTAGTTATGGTTGAGAGATCCTCACTTGGCCATCATGACTTTGACAAACTCCTCATAGTTGATCTGACCATCACCATCCACATCAGCCTCACGAATCATCTCGTCAACTTCCTCATCAGTCAGCTTCTCACCAAGATTTGTCATCACATGGCGGAGCTCAGCAGCAGAAATGAATCCATTCTGATCCTTGTCGAACACCCGGAAAGCCTCCTTCAGCTCTTCCTCAGAATCTGTGTCCTTCATCTTGCGGGCCATCAAGTTCAGGAACTCCGGGAAATCAATTGTCCCGTTTCCATCAGCATCAACTTCATTAATCATGTCCTGGAGTTCTGCTTCAGTTGGATTCTGTCCAAGAGATCTCATCACAGTTCCAAGTTCCTTGGTAGTGATACAACCTGTACAAAATATTAAAAAAAATAACTACGATCAAATATCCGATACAACATATTTAAACATAAAAGTTGACAAGTATCAACCAAAAAACAAAATGTAAAAGACCCATGAGGGACATATCTGCTGGCTAATTATAATTATTATTTTTGTTGTTCTTCTCCTCGCCTTCATAAACTTGATTTCTACGTTTCTTAATACTAAAGAAGGCTACAAAATTAATTAAAATTCACATTTATACCAGACAACAAAATCACCAAAAGAAAAATGACAAATACCAGACAAAGGGCAGCAACATCAACATCAAAAGACCAATGGCCAACAACATTCAGAACACAGCATGACTACTTGCAAGACAAAAAAAATAATACAAAATTCCAAAAGCTTAAAAATGATTTGAAAAGTAATTATTCCCAAAGACAAAACCCAAAAGAACGTTCAAAGCCAACATAGAAACTAACTTGAATGTAAATAACCATTTGCCACAATTATTGCAATGCCAAACCAAACATAAAAAAAAAAATGCAGACACTCTAAGCTCGGAAGCATATTTCTCAACAAGGAACACACAATACACCGTTCAAAATTTGAAAACGAGATCAATTCCCACAAGCATCAGAAGTATTCTCAAAACGAATCTCGCATTCAAACAGGCAATTGAACAAATAAAAAATTTCTACAAATAAGAACAATGCAAGAATTGTATAAAATAAATATCATCTCCCAGATGGCGTAGGTCACAGAATTTCAATCAGAAAACAAATAAGATCTAATCAAACAAAGATAAAAAACAGATCAGATCTAAAACAAGAACCCTAGATCCAAGAAATAATAAAAATGAAAAAAAGAATTAGAGATCTGAGAGAAGAGAGAAGAGACCATCGCCATCCTTGTCGAAGAGGCTAAACGCTTCCTTGAATTCGGAGATCTGATCATCGGTGAGCTGGTCGGCCATATTTATCTGAAGAAAGAAAGAGCGATTGGGTTTTGGTTTTGTGTAAGTTTGAGTTGGTCGTAATTAGTTTTATTGTGGAAAATGAAAGAGATATTAGGGTATTATATATATATATTGAATTTAAAGGGAAAGAGATGGTGGTGGCTTCGGCATCTGATTCTTTCTCTCCCTTTTTACTATTTTACCCTCTTCTAGACTTTCTTTTATATATATTTTTCGCTAGAAAGGTTTCAGATTTATGATTTTTCTTCTATCCTTTTGTGGCCAAGTTTTATTAGTTTGGACACATTCTTTTTAGAAACTTACCTGAAATATTATTTCTCTTAGTTATTAATTTAAAAGGATTTTTTTGGTTAAATTTATTAGTAATTAACAATTTTTTTAAGACCTTGATCTGCATTTTAAATCTTATATATCTTTTTTACTAAATATCTCTCCAAAACTAGTAATATTCAATGTAGTGGATAATAGATAAGGTTGACTTTTATCTTAATAGTGTTAAAAAAAAAAGTTTTCCTAGTTAGAACGACTAACATTAATTTTGTCAAGACTATACTTAATTACAGTTAAACTTATTTATTTGATTGAAATGATATTTTTACAAGTAACACTCTAATGGTGATGATATCTTAATTAGAGAATTACTTAATATAAAAATACATATTTTATAAGTTCAATAAAAGATATAAAGTTTACATTAATAAAGTGTGTTTGGTTAGATTCATGTACATGTTGAAAGAGTTTTCTTTATGTAAAACTATATATGTGTGTGTGTGTGTGTGTGTGTGTGTGTGTGTGTGTGTGTGTGTGTTTACCAAGTTTGCAAGTGTATTCGTCTAAATATCTTATTGAAATAAAAAAGTAGAGGCGGAAATGTTTGCTTCAAATTGGGTGTATCAAAAAGATATTTATACTTTGGATTGGGGTTTAGTTAAGGGATATTCTCTTAGCTTTTGGCTTCAACTCTAATTTTAGGGAGATGGATTTGGAAGTTATTCTTCATTATGCTTGGTTACTCATATATTCTCATTAGTGGTTCCATCTAGAGAGTCTATCTAAGGGTTTTTCTTTCTCAAATAGGACATTTCTCTGTCAAAATAAATTGGCAAGACTAAATTGACCCCTTCTCATATTGTAATTGGTTTTTGGATTGAGTTTCAGTGAACTTAGAAATTGTAAAGCCGAGGGAATAAGCTCATTCAACAAGGCCTGAGCCTCAACGATAAAAATCATTGAACGAAAATAGAACAAAGGAATTCATATTAGCACCTAGGTAATGTATAATATGAATATCCCCACCCAATTTATTGTTTAAAATATCTTTTTGTACTCCTCTTAGTAAATACCCTTAATGGCCGTTTGGTTAGGGGTAATAGAAGATGATGCCGATTATCTATCTCAAAAAGGGATATTATCGTGTTTGGTTTTTAGATAATCAAATATTCTGGTAATCTTTTAATGTAAATAGGGTGTGTTTGGTTCGGGGTGAAATAGGATTAATCTTGTAGGCTCCATTTGGTTCACTTTTTTACACTTTCTAGAAAAGTTTTTTGAAAAAAATTAAAAAAAGTTGAATTGGGCGGGTATTACGATGTAGGATTTGGAAATTAATAAAATTATCCCCTCTGTTTGTTTTTTTACTAAACACCCCTATAATAAAACATTACAAGTTAACAAAAACACCCACAACCTACCCATTAAATATGGACAGTCGGCCACTACTACCGGAGGGTGGTCGGAGTCGTCGTATCAGTGCATGACCAGCTGGATCTTGCCAGTCGTGCGCTGATATGGCCTTTTCTAGCCAGATCCACGTTGGATCTGGCCGGCAAAGGCTAGATCTAGCCATTGACGGCCAGATCTGGCCGTATTTGCTCGTCAACGACGACCAAAGATACGGCCATCGTTGATGGTCAACGACGGCCATCTGTTGACCGTCGTTGACGACTGGTTACGGCCAAAGATCTGGCCGTCAATGGCCAGATCTTTGGCCTTAGATCTGGCCTTTTTCGACCAGATCCATTGTGGATCTAGCCGGAAAAGGCTAGATCGGCACACTACCAGCCAGATTCAGCCGGTAGTGCGCCATTATACCAGATTCCGGCCATTTTCCGGTGGTGGTGGCTGGAATCTGGTAAATATGGGTTACTGGGGTTTTTTTTGCAATTTTTAAAAAAATATTTAGGAGTATTTAATTAAATTAACAAATTTAGGGGATTTAAAAAAAGTTGAATAATATTGAATAATATTGTGAGTTTTTGCAATTTTACTGTTTAACTTATTGGGAATACTAATAATAGTATTCCCAAATGTGAGCCAAATGAAGCCGTAATCTTTGTTTAATTTTCAAGATTTCCTCGTTTGGTTGTCAAATAATATAATATTACAGTAACATTTTATTGCAAATAGTGTTTACTATTGGTAATATTAGGGGTAATCAGATTACCCTCCCAAGGGTGTTAATGTTAGATTACCGGGGTAATCATAATTTTTACCCTATTTTGCCCTTAATATTTTATCATTCCGAACACATTTGCCCTTATATATCTTTTAAATTACAAGTTTCCCAAATTGAGTTAGGATGACTTTTCTGCCCCCCATATTCAATTTATAGAGACAAAAAAGCCCCTGATATTTGAAAAAACTACAAATACATATTATATGTTCAATTAAACCCTAATCCACCATCGTTTTTTCTTTTCCTCCACAACGAAAACCAGCGGTGCTATTAGGGTTCTCTTTCTTCTCCAATCGACACGAAGCACACCAGGTTGGTTCCTTTCACCGAACATTTGTGTTGTTGTTTATTAAATCGTACACTGATGCGTTGATTTTTGTTCGTCGTCGAGCAGTTCTAATCCCGAAGTGCAGCAATTTGTCTCTGTCAATCTCCGTCATTTTAATCGAGTTAGGTGAGTTCTGTAATACTGTATTTTGTGTGATTCAATTTGCCATTTTCAATAATTAAACAACTTCGACGAAAAGGGTCAATTTTTTTTGTCCATTCATACACAGAACTGTATTGATGTTGTGTTCGAATGAAAAGGGGACTGTTGTTGGTATGATTATCTTTGTTTGAAGTGTCAATGTTTGGGCATAGTTTGATGGTCTTTAGTTTTTAATATGATATGGTCACTGTAGAGAATGGAGCATGTTGGTTTAAATTCTGGGTTATGCTTCCCTGTTTTGTTTCAAATTGTGTTGTTTGAATTTGGGTTTGTTAAGGTGGTATGCATGTGTGATACAGTGATTGTGTGGATGTTCTTTTTCTATGATGTGCTGTTTGAAATGGCTGGCTGTATCTTCCTAAACTGTATGCATTCATAGCCTTTGGGTTTTACATTTTATTGTTTGGGTTTGGGTGGTTGCCATTCCACAGTTTGTCTTGACTGTCTAGTGTAATGGTTTTGGTGCTGATGTACTTTAAATTGTGAAGTGAAATGGTATAAGTGTTTGTGAGTAATATTATGCTTGTTGGTACATAGAGTAGGTGAAACAATCATGGCCCGTTTACCCCTAAGGCAGAAGATGCGTTTGGTCACAATCTTACTTTTGCAATTGCACGTGATGGAAAGCATGTTCGCCATGCTTCTAATTGTTGGGCTTGCTATGCTGCATAGGAATAGGAATACTAGGGGTTTTATAACTTACAAGGGTAGGCGTTATTTAAGGGCAATGGGTAGGTGTCCTATAAGATATGCGGCCGAGCGAATTGATAGACATAATGTTAGATCACTAATTTACAGAACATGGTTTTTGATAGTGATACACAGTGTCTTGAGAATTGTAGAATGGATGTCTAATCGTTTGACAAGTTATGTCATTTACTAAAAAGTATTGGCGGGTTAGCATCAACTAGAAATACAACTATATAAGAGATGGTGGCTTGTTTTCTTCACATAATTGCACACCATGTGAAGAATAGAGTTCTTAAAAGACAAACAAAAAGATCTGGTGAGACAGTTTCACGAAATTTTCATAGAGTGTTGCAAACTATGTTGAGACTGCATAGAATTCTGCTGAAAAAAATAGATCCTATCTTGGAGAATTCAACTGATGACAGATTGAAATGGCTCAAGGTACACATTATACCCATTCGGTTTATCATTTTCATATTTGTTTGCTTATGACATTATCCAAAAATTAATTTAATGTTTCCCTGTTTTTGTTGTCTTGTTAGAATTGTTTGGGTGCTTTAGGAACATATATACGGGTTCACGTGGACTCAGTTGAAAAACCCAGGTACCGCACCCGAAAGAATGAAATTGCAACAAATGTGCTTGGTGTCTGCACACCAGACATGCAATTTATTTATGTCCTCCCAGGGTGGGAAGGTTCAGCTGCAGATGGTAGGGTGCTGAGGGATGCCATCAATAGGAGACATGGGTTAAAGGTCCCCCAAGGTAAATCTTTGATCAATTTCTATTTTCTACAGCTATATACAGTAATATAGTCGATGGTTTTTTTTATTCTAACATGTTTAACTTCATGGTAGAGTTTTATTACTTATGTGATGTTGGATACACCAATGGGGAAGGGTTCTTGACACCATATAGAGGGCAACGATATCATTTGAATGAGTGGAGGCAAGGCCGTCAACTAGCGACACCGCAAGAATATTTCAACATGAAACACTCTCAAGCAAGAAATTTAATTAAGAGGTGTTTCGGTATACTAAAGAAAAGATGGGGTATTTTGCGAGAAACATCCTTCTACCTGGTGAGAACCCAATGTCGCATTATTTCAGCATGCTGCCTTTTATATAACTTCATTAGAAATGAATTGCCAACGGACCCAATCAAGAGTGGGGTTGGGAAAGTGTGCAGTGTCGAGGACGACAAGGAGGACAGTGGTGAAGTTATAAGGCATGTGGATACGAGTGTCACGTGGACTGCGTGGAGAGATAATTTAGCTCAAGAAATATTCAAAACTTGGATGTCTTCACGAAATATGTAGTGTCAGGTTATTAGGGTTTCTATTGAATGTGTATGTCCGTGTTGATGTCTTCTATTGCAAACAATTTGATCAGTTTACTTTGTTTCTATTGTGACTGTACTGTAAACACTTGTAGCACCTGATTTTTCTCTTCTGTTATGTTTTAGTTGTTGATGCTTTGTTATATGTTAAATTGGAGTTGTTTAGTTATTATCTTTCATTTTGTGGCGTGCATGTATTTTGTCTGTGCAACAACTTTTACAATTTCTCTGTTATTTTGTTCCGTTTCTTGTAGTATAAATCATTTAAAATTTGGGGCTACTTTGTTGTGTTTTTGTCTAATGTGCTGCTAAAGTTTCTTTATAGAATGGACAACTCAGATCCAAAAAACAAAAGTGGCAAAAAGAGTTTGAATTTGGACGTACCAAACATCAACAGAAAAGGAAAGGGTAAATCTAACAATGCTGCGACCAAAAGACAGTTGACGGAGGATGAAGATGTTCATCTAGTTGACTATCTTGTAATACTAAAGCAAAGCAATCAGTGAGGTGCAGATAATGGCACATTTAAAGTTGGGTTTCTGTCCCTAGAAAAAATGCTGCAGGAGAGGCTTCCTTAACATGGCCTTAAGGAAATTCCTCACATTGATTCGAGGTATAAGTTACTGAAGCGCCAGTACCATGTGATCAATGAGATGATAGAAAATGGCAGTGGATTCGGATGGAATGATGTAGAGAAGTGCATTACCGCAGCCAAAGATGTATTCGATGAATGGGTTAAAGTAAGTGCTTTTATTGGTGAAATTGTTTACATGTTTAATTTTTTAAAAACTTTCATTTCTCTATCTTTTTATTTATTTTTATTTTTTTGGTAGAGTCATTCTACCACGAAAGGCCTGTGACACAAACCATTCCCCCACTATGACTCGTTAGTCACAATGTTTGGTGAAGATCGAGCAACCGGAGGGGCTGCAGAGACCCCTGCTGATGCGATGGAGGCTTTTGAGATAGAGCAGGAGGCGATTAATGAGATAGATATGGACGTCGATGTCGATCTTGAGGTGGAGGGCCAAAACACTATTCCGGTGAAGGAAGAGATTGCTAGTTCTACATGTCAGACAGCCACAGGTGGCCCTAGTAAGAAGGCTATCAGTAGCGGCAAGAGGAAGTTTAGGGATGAAGGTTTTTTTGATTTCATGGATCAGATGGGTAAGTTTAGCAAAGCATTTGAAGAAACCGCAAAGAAATTAAAGACATTGCATCGTTTTTCAAAAGAGAGTCTTAAGAGAAGGACAAGAGGAATTCGTTGTTCAATGCAATAGCTGAGTTGGATGGGTTCACAGTTGATGAGTTGCTAGAAGCAGGAGAGGTGATATGCAAGGAACCTCACAAAATTGAGTTATTTGTAGCGTTACCGCTTCATTTTAGGCAGGAGTTTGTGATGAAGCAGCTCACAAGTAATGTGTATCGTCTAGTATTTGATGATTAGTAATATATTTATGATAGCATTTAACTTTTTTGTGCACTGAAGTGTTTATTTATATGAATGTGTTGCCTCAGTAGAAGTCTGTTAGTTGCATGGGTATGGCGTATTTTTTACTATGAAACACCATGGTGTAGTATCTGCATTGTATAGACCATGGATGTTGTGTACTTTTTCATTATGTGTGATAGTGCATTGTGTTAACACTTAAACATATCCCACCGCAGATATCTTTTGTTGTGTAATACCCCGGTTTTTGTTAAGGATTGTAAATGTTGTTAATTAAATGGTAATCACAATATGAAATGGTGTTGCGTACTGTCATATATGTTGTTGTGGTTATTATGATATCCAATTATCATGTGCTGCAACAGTTATCTTAAGTGCAAGGTATAACATAATTACCTTTGTTTTTTACTTCCTCATTCTTTTTTTACATGTTTTTCAATTTAATTGTCATCTGTATTTTTTACACATGTTTAGGGGGAATGACATCTACACAAAGGCAAAGAGGGGAAAGTGCCAAGATTGGGTGCCATGGACAGTCACATGCCACACGACCACTGTGCAGAGGGGACAAAGATGAAGGTCAGTAATGTGATTTCATAAATTCTTACTTTGTTCGTGGAGGACTAATCAATATTTGATGAAGTCAATTTGCACATATTATGCATTTTTGGGGGGAACGGAACCCGTACAAAGGGCCAAACCAACTAGTGTCGACCATAGCTGCCATGGTGATTCAGACATTATATAGACGGTCTCTAGCCAGAGCAAATTTGATGGTAAGGAATATGGTTTCATATATTTGTTCTTTAAGGAACATAACAACGCTTCACAACACAATGAGATCAATTTGCTTTATAGGTAAGAAACTTCCGCGACGGGCAAGCAACCGCATTGCCACCAGTAGACAACATGGAATGTTGACCGGCAATATGTTTGCTTGACACTTGGGGTATGCTTCTCACCTACGTCCATGTAATTTTTAAATTGAAAACTTTTTGATAGAGTTGATAATTTCAGTTATGACAGGAAATTGTGGACAAGATCTACACATGTTGACATATCGGATTTTAAGTGTCTCGATTCCATGTGGTTTTTCTTGTATTCCGTATGAGCTAGTAGGCAGAAGGTTCTGAAATGGATTAAAAAGGAGGACATATTCTCTATGAAATATGTGTTCATTCCCATTGTATTATGGTTAGTTAATGTTCGCTTATTTTTATAAATGCAAGGTAATTTTCAATTCTATTGATGGGGGTGCTAATATTCTACATTTCTATATATGTAAGGGCCACTGGAGTTTGATGATCTTATGCAACTTTGGGGAAGTAGCGCGATAAGAACCCAACATAAGTTGCATGTTATTGTTGGACTCACTTTGGTCAGCTAACCCAAGGAGGTTTGAGTCTCTGATAAGAAAGTAAGGTCTTCCAACAATTTTCAAGATCCTGCTCCACATTTTTCACTTGTGCTAGAGTTTGTGGCCAATAATGCAGTTAATTTTAATTCCACAACTTGTTCCACAGGTTTGCCCTCGATATCATTGTTGCTGAAACAACGACAGAAAAGACTAACCAAGTGGCTGATATACCTCTCATGGTGCCTGATGTGTGTAGGGTTACACCCTACAGGGGTCACATTTTGGATTTTTGTTGTCATTTGTGTGTATGCTCACTGACTTACTAAATGTTATGTGTGTCCAGGTGCCCCAACAAAGGAACCAAACTGATTGCGGCTATTTTATGCTTTATTATATATATAATTCCTCGAACGTGCACCAGCAAAACTTTCCCTAACCGAAGGATACCCGTACTTTGTAAGTGTTGCATTGTTCCATTGCCAATCAAAATTTTTTACATTCTTTTCCATCAAGATACAACTGGTTATTTATTATGTCGTTGTGTAACTTGTGCCTTACCACAGATGAAAGAGGATTGGTTTGGGGAGGATGATGTCAAATCTTTCTGTGACAAACTGTTGTTAGACGTCACGTACATTGAGGCAGTGGTAAACATTTGCTGTTGTAATTGCCGATTTAATATAATATGGACTATGTCACCATTGATCATGACCTACCATATCATGGTCATGAACCATATTTGCATCACTAACAAGTATGATTTCCTGACTTGTACAGGACTGTGAAAACAGCATAAAAGGTTAAAGCTACGAGTAACATGCATTCGGCCGTATTGTTTTATTGTAAATTATGTGTTTCCATAACTGTTGTACAAAAAGTAGTTCATGTGTTACAAAATAAAGTTCGAAAACAATCCAACATTGTGATAAGGCACAATTGAAAAATCAATGTTACAACTTTATGTTTCTTTTCTATTGAAATATCTATTACATACAAATGTTTGTTTCAAACTGCTAAATTGCAATAGTTTCATCGATGTATGGATGGTGGGATGTGTTTCGATATGGGATGAAGGGGGTTGTGGATTATGGATTTTGCTTCTGTGTTTGGAGATTTTCGGTAGGGCTGGGTGCATTTCAATGTCTGGTATGCTATTGTGAGAGGAATGGGTTTTCTGTTGTTTATGGGTTGTTGTTTTGTGTTTTCTCTTTGGTTGTAGTTTTTAGTTGTGCAGTAGGTTTTTTACTGCAGGATATGGTTTGCATGTTCTATGCATTGGGTTACGGTGTTATGGAGGAATAGGACATGATCGTATGGCGACTGGGCAGGGGTGTTAAGAGCCTACACTGCATGTTTGGGCTGCAAGTTGTGTATGTTGGTTTAGCAGTTAGTGGGTGTTGCTATTGGGCTTAAGATGGATGTTTGTGTAGGTTTGTAATGTTGTGTTTAGGATGATGAATGCTAGTATTGCAGTGTACATTGTTTCTGCTGTGTTTGTTATTTTATGTTTCAAATTTCTTTGTGCGGCTTAAGAAAAAAGGCTCATTGGTCATTTCCCACAAGACGATATTACTTTGTAAAAGAACAAGATAACAAGAATAAAAAATGAAAATTGTTTGCAATGGTTATATTTTGTTACATAATTTAGGCAAAAACTTAGAAAAGATTCGCCCAACTCTTAAACTTTGAAGGGACAAGTATAGAAACTAATTGCAAATGGGCAAAATTATACCTCTTCAACCAAACAAAGCTATAATTGATTCCTAGACATTAGAACTAGTAAGGGTATTTTTGTAAAATACCCTTATGTAATATTAGGGGTGAGCGGTTCTAGGTCTACATTTTTCAGAGGAATTGGAACCGGAACCGCACAGTGCAAGTTCCCAAAAAAAGGAACCAGAACTGAAACCGCATAATACAGGTTCTTAAATTCAAGGAAGCGGAACCTAAAATGCAGGTTTCAGTTCTTTTCCCGGGTACCCTGTAAAAAATCAACTACCCCCTATTAGTTTAAAAAATGACAAAAATACCTTAAAAGTTTACAAATACACCCCTAACAAATTTTGATTACTTATTCATTTGTGTCTAATGTAACTCATAAATCCTATAATCTTTAGGCAACAATTGAATTCAATCAATTCATCACAATTCACATAAAATTTCTCAATCAAAA